GGGGCCGCGCCGGCAGCCGCTGGCCTGGCCGGGCAGGGCAGGAGCTGGGGCAGCGGCAGCGGCGCCAGTCGGGCCGTGCCCGGGGAGCGCGGCCCGGGCGGCGCTGGGAGCGCAGTGCCGAGGCCGCCGGGCCCAGCACAGCTGCCCCGGGCCGGGCGGCAGCGCAGCCCGCAGTGACCCTGCCCGGGGCTGTGACAGGCGTCTCGTCAGGAGGTCACAGAATCACAAAATAGCTCAGGTTGGAAGGGAGCGCTGGAAATCATACAGGCCAACTCCCTGCCGAGGCAGAGTCACCTGGAGCAGGTGACACAGGAACGCGTCCAGGTGGGTTTGGAACGTCTCCAGACAGGGAGACTCCACGACCTACCTGGGCAGCTGTTCCAGTGCTCTGCCACCCTCAACGTAAGCAAGTTCCTCCTCATGTTGAGGTGGAACTTCTTGTGTTTTGGTTTATGGCCATGGTGGTTACAGAGCACGTTTTTGCCATTGTGGTATGGCAGGTGTCCTGCCCACCGGGAGCGGCCACCTGCCCTTCCCGAGGCTGGAAAGTGACAGGGTATTTAACTCAGGTTTCGGAAATTGACAAACATCTCCGTGTCAATACATGATGAATAAGCAGGCTGCCAGTGGGGAGCTGTGAAGGAAATGAGAGACGGTCTGACAATTTTCAGATTAGTTTGACACATTTTTGACACTTCTCAGCGTAGTGGGATGTGAAGAGTAAACTTAGAAGCATTTTTCTGCAAAAGCAGTTTCAGAGTAGTAAAGTGAAAGACGGAAGGCAGTGTTACTTCAAAGAGCTTTTTTTTCATGAGCATAATTCAGCTAAGAGTTGAATTAGAGGCACTCATTTGGTGTTTGCAACACTTGGACTGATTCAGATTAAAACTCCAACCTGAGAGTATATACCCACTGCCTGAACTAGAGTAATGTCATGGGGAGATGTCATTTCTTTTAAATGCAGGATTTTTGTGGTTCACTTTTCTAGATGGCTAAACAAAGCACAGCCTTATCAGTTTCATTCTGAACCTGCTCACCAGTCAGAGGAAAAATGGACAGAGTTTAATACCAGAGTAAATCTCCAATATATTGGATTTAGGCTGTTGTAACTCAGAGGAGAATTTGATCTCCTACACACAGAATCAGTAGGTATAGGATTTTCCCAAATGAATGCTTTAAAATGCAAGGAAAGATTGTGATTTGGGCAGGTTATGTCTCCATAACCTGAATTATAGTATAATTGCGTATCTCAGTTGATGATGGTGCTGAGGTCAATGAAAGCATGTACTGAATCAATTAATTTGTGACAGCTGAAATTTTCCCCAGCTCAGCCTTTGGATTTCATTCAAAACTTTCTTTAAAGAAACAACAGTGTGTTCATTTGCTGTATGCTTCATTTGAAGCATTCTAGAGACCTGGAACCAAGTCTTGGATTTTTCTATTTGCTTGAGTATCCAGCTGACTTTAGTGGGAGCGTTACGCAAGAAGGGAGTTCATGTGTGAGCCTTTTATGTGGTTAAATAGATAATTGATATGGGTGCGGTTATACCGCTTGTTTTTAATATAAATAGCAGCGTGCTTGGTAGGCAGAGGGGGTATAGTAGTAGTGGCATTTAAAACTATTTTAATAAATATTCAGTGTGGGATTAGGTTGAGTGTTAATTGCTATCAGCATATGCAGTTTATTATTATCAGGTGAGTGTTTACGGTGGAGGTAAAAGGGGCGTCGGCCATCACACAAAGCTGCCCGTGATGGCTGCTGCAGATAGGGAGGCTCTGTCTTCCTGGCCTGCTCAGGGTTGTGACCGTCCCTGGTAACTGCACTAATATTTTTCTCACTCAGTGAATTATACCTTTAAAGTCCCAGCTGATGATCAATGTCTTGTGAAAGAGGTAAGCTCAGTGATTCTCAGCCATGTGGTGGTAATCATAAGCATTTAAAGGATAGTGGCTAAAGTTGTGGAATTAAAGTGGAAGTCAAATGATGGGCTATTCCTATTAAGTAGAAATAAAACATACATTTAGAAAAGGCTGTGTGTGACTCCATTAATACGTTTCTGATTGATTGATTGATAAGGATTGTAGTAGCTCTTTTTTTCTCAACTGTTAAGTGGGGTATGATGGAAGACTTGAAAGCTATTTGATCCATAAGGCAATCACAGTATCACATAAATAAATCACACAGTTTAGCTTGTTTATCTTCCTTATTCCTTTCTAAAGGCCGTACAGTTAAATGTGACTTTGTGGTTCTTCCTTTGAACTAATCTGGGTTCTAATTTTGTTTTAATGATACTTTAATTTTATTCCATACAAAGAGAGTGGAAAGGATATAACACAGTAGAAACATGATCTGAAACATATATATGATTAATTGGTTGTGTTTGCTTCTTCTAGGGAAAATCCAGAACGTACCTTTGATTTGGTACTGAAAGTAAAATGCCAAGCTTCTGAAAATGAAGGTAATATACTATGCCTGTGATTTTTATTTATAGAAATGAGTGCTAGAAAAAAATATTTTGCATCCTGATGTAGTGTTAGCTTATATTTTGAGTTGCTGTTGTATTGAGATTGTATTAGAAAGTGGGTGATTATTTTATTGCTTTTTAAAGTCTATTAATTTGTGCTTGTTGTGGGTTTCTACTGTTATATTTTTGTTTTGACTATTGTAAAAATATTTTTGTTCTGAGAGAAATATTTGCAAAGCTCGAACTTGAATTGTATCTGCTGCACTTCGGAAGTCTTACAATGTTGGTTTTGTCTAAAATTTCATTTTAGCAGAACAGTTGACTTCTATCAGTGGAATGTTAATTTTGATCAGTGTGATAGGGAGAAAATAACTTATTTTCTGAACAATAGGAAGAGACTTTCTTTGTAGCTCATGTTTGGCAGCAGCTTTGGCTTGATACACCATACAAACAGCAACGAGTGCTGACTTGAGCTTATATTAGCCGTCAGTTTCATGTCTCTATAAACACGTGGTAAAAGAGATGTAGTAGTGCAAGAGTTGTCTGAGAGAGGCTTTTTTTCTCTTGGGTAAAAAGAAGATGGGATTTGCAGTACTGAAATTAAAGTGACCTCTTGAAAGTCCACTGGGGGAACTCGGTTCATGTTCTCATCTGAGGTTGTTGGCCTTACAAAAGCCCAGGGAGAGGAGGAGTCTTGTTGGGGTTGTGTTGTAGTCATGTTAGTCTGTGACAGCTGTGTCTTAATCACAATTGTAAAAACTGCATCTTAAAATAGAGTATATTTCTTATCCTACTGTGCTAATGGATGCTATTTCCAGAGTTTACTACTCTAACAGGAAGGCTGTAGAAGTTTATAGCTTCAAACTATCCCTTTCTTTTTTATTTATTTTTTTTATTTCAGGCAGCATTTGTTAGTGGTGTCATGGGAGCATGGCTAATATGTTTACAAAAACCATTTTTGTTGAAGCTTCAACAATGTTGAAGCTAAACCTAGTTCTTTAGGTCTTTTCCTGACAATCCTAACAGACTTTCTGTACCTGTTGTATTATATGTTATCCTGTACTGATAGCTCAAGTTTCTCCCTTTTGTTTTTCCTCTTCTCTTTGTAAGATTGTTCATTTAGTTGTGAAATGACATCTTGGGCCTGGTGCAGTCCTTGGATACCTTCACTTTTTTTGTGATCAGCCAGAATCCCTCAGCCTGCTTTTGTCATTTGCTGTTGATACAGTCACAGTCTGGCAAATCAGATGGGTTTTCTGAACTCTGATCATTGTTGTGGTTTGTATCATGGCACATTTTTGCTTCTGTTCTCCCTCTTTTGCACTTTTTACCTTAGTGATTTCATACATGATGTCTGGGAACCCTGCTTAGCTACCTGACTTCTGATCTGTTCCTCCTTGCATTGTGCTTTTGGTCTCTCCCTCTGCCCAATATCCCTTCCTGGGGGCCTGTTCAAATCTTGGCTTAGGCCCAGCTTCAACCTGCAGATTTTATTCCCTTTCTTCCTTTCCCTCCTGAGATCTAGACTGTTAATCCTTTCAGGTTCTTCATCTTCAAATTCAAAAAATGTGGGTTTTTCTCTTCTGTGATCAGAATATGGTTCTAAATCCTTTTAATTCCTTTTATATCCCATTTGACTTCTGATTTTTGCACTTCTACTGCTATAGGAAACCACTTCTTGTTGCTTGCAGCTCTGTGAATGACCTACACCTGAATTTTGGTCATAGGCACTTCCCCTGCCTCCCTCTGTGGGTATTTTTGCTGTTTATCAGTTGTCTGTGGAGAGTAGCATCTTTAAGAAGTCTGTGTATTTCCTTGCACTGTGACCTGAGTCAGTGTGGAGACTGTATCTGGGACCATATTGTGGTTGCATCCTCTGCTACTCCACTTCTTGTCACCATCCCTTCTGTGCCGGGTGGGCTCAGTTGCTGTTGGTCCACGGGGTGGCCAAAGGCAGGAAGGAGGTCTGATACCTGTAGTGTTGGAGTCTGGAGTGTGTGACAGGTGAGGTGAGGGGTTTAGGTGTCTTTCAGCTGGCTTGGAGCTTGCGTTGATTCTTGCACGTGTCCACAGATCAGCACAAAAGTATAGTGCCCTTTTACCAATCAAACGGTGCTGGCTGAATATTCCAGTTACTATGCTGTTGTACTTGGTGACCTATCTGGGATTCGTTTTAATGTCTTTCATATCATATCTAATTCAGATAACAAACTCACTCCAGTGAGGGCTTGACATCATATTTACATATGGTATTATGAGCACAGTGATGTATCAAATTAATATATCTGAATGTTAAAGTTATTTAAAGGAAATTCACAAGGTACAAAAGTGTATTGTTTCACTGCCACTTTAGAAATGGAGCACAAGGCTTGTCATGCTAAACGGGGAGCTTTCAAGGTTGGTTTATTATAAGGCCTAACAAATTTGACAGTTACCCTGTATTGTAGGTCTTGCCTTTAAATAGATTTTCATGCTAGGATAATCTTTTGAATACATCATACTTGAAAACATGATCCATTCACCTGTTTCTTTGCTCATGCCTCTTTCTCTCTTATAAAAGAGATTTGTGTTTAAATAGGGGCTTTTTCCCTCGCATCCCATCTGCTCCTTGTACTTGATCCTGAAGCTATGTCGGGGCTGAATTTGTGACATCACTGTCACCAGTGTTGCCGTGGAAATATCACAGCCACAAAATTATGATCTCCCTGCATGAGTGAGCAGCAGGAGAAGCTGACTTAGAAGAGAGGAAGACCTTAATGTGACCCGTGTATCTTTAAGCTTTTTCTTTTCAAGCTTTGCCTTAGCATGCATTCTCCTGCATTTTAATTTCCCTGTGCCAGTGTATAACTGCTCTAACAAATAACATTTGAGGTAGCCCTACTGCACGTGTAACTCTTAATAGGATGTTTTTATGAGGATACTGTGTGCCTGCAGCAATGTGACATGACAAAAAATTTTGCTGTTAAAATTGCTATGCTTTGGAAAAGTATTTTTAGATAACTTCTTAATTACAACATAGCTTCCAAGGAATGTTGGTTTTTCAGATATGACAGTGTCCTAGGATTCTTCCACCTATGTACATACATACATGAAATGGAGCAGAGTTTATATGTATTATGAAATTTGTTCTTAAATAATTTTGCTAATTTTCAACATAGGTATTTACATTGAGTAGAAAACAGAGAGGTAGGTTAATATGAATTTATCACATCATGTTTAGGAGGTAGCTCCTGAATTGGTTACAGGCTCAGTTGTGCTAACATGTATTTATTTATAGTTGGATCAAAATTTTGTTTCCTATTGGATACCTTTTTTTGTGTGTGTGCGTTGTTTAAGAGTAGCTTGCATGCTTAAATATCAATTTATTAATACTGAGTAGATCATCCTTTGGACTACTGTCTCCTTTCTCTCTGTTCTAAACTACAGGAGTGCACAGTAGCATTGCTAGAATAGTGATCTTCTAACCCTTTCCTCATTTTTGGGGCAGGAGAGAAAAAGGGGTATTCTCTACTTAGATGTTCTTATAACTCCCTCAACAGTTTAGAACATATTGCTTGCTGTATTTTCAGAGTAAATCTCCACAGAGGAGAGAAAAACCTTAAGACCAAAATCAGATTGTTGCCGTGTCATAACTTCCAGTCCTTTGCAGGGGTGAAGATTGTAAGCATCAATTTATATATGTTGAAACATAGTAACTAGTTGATGTGACAACTTTTACTTATGAAAATTCATAACCCGATTCTCACAAAACTTTGAGATGAAGTAACTGCTGTTCACTCGAGTTTGCTAAGTGACTGGGAGGTAAGTGCTAAGCTATTCTAACAGCCTGGTATTTGTTAATTGTGAATTTGGCTTGCAGTGTGAGTAGCACCTTACAGCAAAAAGTTTTACAATGCCTTCCAGGCAGTTGCAGATTTTCGTAATTCTTTTCTGTGTTACTCCTTAATGAACAAGCAAACAAAAGAAATAGTAAAAATGTGTGCTCGATATAACATCAGCAGTAGACCTTCAGCATTAAATTTTCACTTGCAGGCTCAGAGGACAACTTGATAACAGACATTATCAAAACTGTTGTGTTATTTTAAGGACAAGAATTACTCTTTAGCTTTAGAGTGAAAAGATGCAAGTTTTTTGCACTTTGGGCTGAATTACCCCTCCTAGATATCAGGAGTAATGCAGTGGTACAGTTGGTCCTGAATGCATGGCCTTACATAAGGCTATTGCATCAGGACTGCTCAACAGCTGCACCTACAGCAACTTTACTCTTCTCCTGGCACTCTTTTGAAAATTATACTGTGGCTGGCACTGTAAGATATGCTAGAGCCTAGGAAGTGTCTGAACAAAGCAGTCTGCAGCTTCTTTTTTTCTTTTTTTCTATTCGTATCCTTCTATCATGGAAAGTAAATGGAATTTCTGGGAAGTTTTCCACAGGACATGTCCAAACTAAGAGTGCCATTATAATCTTTGTGAGGAGTGTATGTTTATCTATGTATCTATGCCTATGCAAGCATATACAGTTTGTGCATACACACATATAAGTCAGAACTTTGGATTTTGGTTAAATGTGCAAAGATGAAGTTGGTAATTTAACCAAGTCTATAAACTTTGTATCCTATATATTGATTCTGTTAAAACTGGGTTGCAGAGGCCAGATGCAAAAGGCAATGCAAATATAGCAGCAAACAGTAGTTGCAGTGTGCAACAGCTTCTGTGAGCATAAAGTCTTCAGCATTTCTGTCCACAGTTTCCCAAGAAGATGATGACTCAGATTGGTTTCAATGTGTGTGGTTAAGCGAGTGCTGTTTGCTACACCCTCATTTTCTTTGATTGTAGCACATACAAAAAGCAACAAAAAGGCTCCATGGAGTGTACAGGTAGATCCAGAAAAGTCAACCACTGAATGTTGTGATTTGGGTCTAGGACTGCTGTAGTCTTGACTGTTGAAGTTTTACTTGAAAACCCCTTTAAAGTAGCAGTTCATTTTCTGTTCAATC